GGGTAATCGACTTTCGCAGATATTGCAAATCGATAGACAGACACGAAGGTCGCAGAGATTACAAATTGATCCTGCCAGGTCAATCTTGTGATGTCTGCGTGTCCTCGCAGCGAGTTGAAAGCCCTGAGTCGAATTCAGATTTCCAGCCATCTCTGTCACGGCTAGAGCCTTCAAAAAGCCACTGAGCTTTTCATACGGTCTAGAGAGCTCCGGTCATCAGAAAGTCCCCGGTGACGCCCCCCCCCCCCCGGTGGCGCCCCCCCCCCCCGGTGATGCCCGTGATATGTAGCGGCCACTGGGCCGCCGAATGAGCTCAGAACGTCACAAAGCCCTCCGTAAGGACAATGGTGTTGCCCTTGGACATGGCCCAGGTGTGTCTCAATGTGGTGGATGTGTCCACGAGACGGCTCGTGGTCCCGTGAAGGAGGGGGAAACGGGGAGACGGTCTGCACCGTCTCCCGTCACCTTGCCACCTCAGGGATCACGAGGCGGCCCAGTGTCCCGATCCGAAACAACATAAAGGAATAAGGGGGGTTGAGTATTCAAACATAATCAAGAGTCAGGCTACGAACTTCTGGCGTTGGCTGGGCTCGAGGCTCGTGAGCGCACCCACCAACCTGGAAGCGTTTCGGACCTCCCGAGTGGCCGTTCATAAAGGGCTGAGACGGCCCAAATTTGTTGGCACGGTCAGGCACGCTTGCGGTGATGACGGCGTCCAAGGAGCCCCGATACGGCCTGCGTGACCCTATCAGGCGTCCATGGAGCCCTGATACGGCCTGCGTGGTCCCATCAGGCGTCCAAGGAGCCCTGATATAACCTGCGTGACCCCATCAGGCGTCCATGGAGCCCTGATACGGCCTGCGTGACCCCATCAGGCGTCCATGGAGCCCTGATATAACCTGCGTGACCCCATCAGGCGTCCATGGAGCCCTGATACGGCCTGCGTGACCCCATCAGGCGTCCATGGAGCCCCGATACGGCCTGCGTGACCCTATAAGGCGTCCAAGGAGCCCTGAGGCGTCCCGGGTGACCCCATCAGGCGTCCAAGGAGCCCGAGACGGCCCGGGTGACCCCATCAGGCGTCCATAGAGCCCCGAGTCTTCAGGGTCACCGTGTGCGTGGTTTGACGCCGGAACCAGGTGACTTCACAGCTCAAAAATTACAGACCTTCAAATGGCGAAGGAACTGGGCCTTTCCAAACATTGGTTTTCAGTTATGTTCTGAAAGTTGCGTCATAACCATTTAAAAATAGAACGTTAAGGCATGTTTGGACATAGATCGTGTGCACTAGAGTCACGGTGACCAGCGGTCTGTGCCAGACCTCTCAGCGTGGTCTCAGTGTGGTCTCTACCTGTTGTTCGGAAGGTGGTAGTTTGGAGAGAGGTACTGAAGACGAGCATTTTCGTTTTCAGGGTCGATATCCGAGGTTCTTGCTAATATAAGGCTTTCGATCTACATTGGCGCTTAATGGCTAGATTTGCAACTTGTCGCAAGCGCATACTTTGCAAAAATTTAGTTTTTTCTTTTTCTCATCCCCCGTACTAGATATGTCCATCGGCAAAGCTGCCTTCGTCTGCGCAGGTTCCGCCTGACTGTTTTAACATGGCATCAGTTTGTGCATTTCCCTCCAGCATCTGCCCCATGTGGAACAAAGTGTTCCTGTGAAGTGAATCAGTGGAAGTGTTCCTGTGAAGTGAGTCAGTGGTACAGTGGTACCACTGACAGTGAGTCAGTGGTAGTCAGTGGTACTTTCGCTTATTTCTCGTCACACCTCGTTTCGCCTTTGCAAATATATCATTTTGTACATACCTATGGAGTGCTTCAAGGGTAAAACGCACCTCTAGTTTGGTGGCAGATCAACGACGCCTCAGTCACTTACATGCGGCTACTCGCGTCTACTGTGCAGGCACTATAACGGAGGCCACGACGTTGCGTAGTTTTCAACGATATACTGTGAAGGTCGGTAACAAATCCAGCCGCCGTCTGCTAGGTGTCTGATGACCCGGCTGTGCTGAGGTCAGCGACCTTCCGGCGCAGCCCGTCAATCTCGCCGCGATTCGGCTACGGTTCGGACGGCGGTGTGGTCCGTTCCGCTTGCTGATCTACGAAACTCCGTTTGCCGATCCGCCGAAGCCCGGTCCGTGTGCGCACTGGACGCAGACAGCGCTTATTAAGCTGGTTAAAACGTGGTCTGTCGAGTCGTCGGCGGGTGCCCGGTTGCCTGTAGTGGTTTGCTGATGGCTGTCAGTACAGCTAAATACGCGTTATACTCCAGGTTTTCACTCTTTTCACGTGTTTTGTTGCGTTGCTCGCCCGTTTTCACGTGTTTTGTTGCGTTGCTCGCCCGTTTTCACATATTTTGTTGCGTTGCTCGCCCGTTTTCCTGTCACGCGTTCGGTCACATCCGCCGTCTCGTGATCTATCAGGATTCCAAAGCCAGTGAAGTACAAGCTATTAGCACCGGCTGCCAATATGCGGCAAGTGCGGTCACGTGGCTGACGCTTGGTGCGCACGTGCGTGCAATACCCAGGAATGTCTGGCTTACGGCACGCGGCCTAATCTACCGGTGGGGAAGAGCACGGCGCCGCCGGTGGGGCGGAGAGTGGTTCTCAAACCATGTCGAAATGTAACATCGCCTGTTCTGTTGCACGAAAATTATAGAGTAGACCTTAAGTACCACGAGTTCAAAGTCAGTTCTTATGTTGAGCTAACGACCGAACGATACACCAGGAGGAGTGATTTAACAACGTTGCGCGGTCAGTCAGTATAAATGCAATATATTAATGCTATTTTACGCTACAACACACTTCACTTCACGCGCTATGAAGTGCGTTGTAGTTCCGCTCCGCAGCTGAGTCCATTTAAGTGTTAGTAAGCAGTGCAATGTCGTTTAACTGCTATCTCCTGGTATAGTGAAGGTCGAAAAACCAGGTCCGAAGGCCTGTTTTTCTTATGCGAAGGACCTGAGGAACTCCCTGTCTCTTTCAGCCCTCCTTTCGCCCCCACCCTCCCCCGCCCAAACCGCGACCGGCTCCGCTCATGTAAAAAACATCCAGTTGGCATCTCCACGAGGAATCTAGCTGTTGATATTTTTTTGAAGATTCTTTTCACCCACTCTTTGAATCTTCGAGGACAACGACCGGCTAAAGTAATAGTGGGTAGCATCGGGCCGATGAGTAATGATTTGGGACTTGCGTATCACCGAATACCATGGCCATTTCGAGAGACTACTTTCGTGTTCAGCATGGGTGCTAGAATTGGTGCATAATTTATTCATCACCAGAGGTAGGAGACAGTGTAACCGATCGAAAACTTGACCAAAAGTATCTATTGCCAGATCATGTTGCTCGGCTCAAAACCACGGAGATGTCAAAAAACTGATTTAACGTTAATGACAGCAACCACGCGCACATTCTCCTATTCCAGACTCGGCGAGCGGCGACGCCAGTGACGACGAGTACGAAGAACCGTCACCAGATGGCAACAGCTGCCTTTCTGCTCTGGTGATTGTGGCGCTGCTGGGCGGCGTCGGTCTCCTCTTTGGCATGATTTCGTTACAAAGTGGCGCGCTGGAAGGTAAGGAATACTTACGGCGCTCCTTTTTGTTTTCCGTACTCTTTCCGATGGGCGTAGAATAACGCGTTATGCAATTTCCGTCGTCGTGGGGAACGGCGGGTTCCGTGGCTCCGCGTTTTCGGTGCTTCATGTTCATGTTCTCTTGTTGTTTGTTGTTCAGTCAGATGCAGTCTTTATTTCGTGCGTGCCTTCGGACAGTGGCGCAGCCACAATTTCGCTCAGGAGGGAGTGGGGTCGAGACGTGGGACCGTTTCAGCCAAGGGACACATTTCGTCGCTACAATGGCCGTACTTTGTATCGGTATTTGTATAAACACTGGCGTAGGGCAATCCTCGCGAACACGTGAATATTACTGCCCGGAGTCATGGCTATCAGGCTGAGGCGTACGCTCAGCCATTCGTGCAAATCTTAATTCACGAATACAGGATAAGGCAAAAATACAATACATTTAAGACGATCGTAGAGCATACATTCAGACCCGACCGTCAGCCAGCAGCTGTCGCTTGACAGCCCGGGCGAAGCACTGACTGGACTGAGACTTGACCTCGTCTGCCGGCCAGTTGTAAGTGGCCGAGGCACGGAACTCAAACCGTCCTCTCCCGGTCTCGGTCCTCAGCATAGGGAGGTGCAGCAGCCTGCCCTGCCTGACCACCTCTTTTTGGGTTCAGGGAATCCTTTTATACTTGTGATCTCATTTTGATGCATCGAGGGCTTGTGCTTGCATTTTGGTAGCCCTGCGACCAACTGAAGCAGAAAAAACAACCTTCGGCACCTCCACGGTGATATTGCCCCCCAAACCCCCCCCCCCCCCGTTGGCTACGCCTCCGCTTGGAAGCGGAAATAAGGACTTTCGTCAGCTAGGCGGTGTATGGATGGGTGGAAATGATGCTAAACATCTGTACGTCTGCGTGCGGCCAACTGTGCCGCCGTGGATGTGACAGAGTTTAACTACGCCAGTAGGCTGTGGCTGCAGCCGGCGCCGCTCCGTCGCGTCGTACGTGCGGTGGCGTCCACCGCGGTCACCGACCCCGCTAAACTCCGCCGCGGCACCCATCCAGCGTCGCCCCGCCGTCGACCGTCGCCGCTTCCGCTGTCGACAGGGTCAGCGCCGTTGCCGCCGGGGCCGTCCGCCCGCCAGGCGCAGGTGGTCCTCGAGCACGGAGACGACTCTACCTCGCAGCCGCCGCCAGTCCCCGTAAGGCGCTCCGCGAGGAGATGGTGGCCCGCGGGAGATGGTGGCCCGCGGGGAGATGGTGACCTGCGGGGAGATTGGCCAGCGGGGAGATGGTGGCCCCGGGGAGATGGTGGCCCGCGGGAAGATGGTGGCCCGCGGGGGATGGTGACCTGCGGGGAGATGGTGGCCCGCGGGAGATGGTGGTCCGCGGAGAGATAGCGGCCCGCGGGGAGATGGTGACTCGCGGGAGATGGTGGCCAGCGGGGAGATGATGACCTGCGGGAGATGGTGGCCCGCGGGGAGATGGTGGTCCGCGGGAGATGGTGGCCCGCGGGAGATGGTGACCCGGGGGAGCATCGCCCGCACTCAGGCACCTGTGGAGCGGTCCCGGATCAGCCGCACTGACCTGTGTGACAAATCTGGCTCACCGCACGTCTCTCTTTGGCTGGACGGTCCCTCGCGGGGCTTGCTTGTATTTTGTGCGAAATTGTTTGCGCTTGATGAGCTTGAGCGTGCTTCGTTACCTGATTGAAATGTGTGAAGCCGCCATCGTGGCTGTCCCTGCGGCCTGTATCACGATTTGAAGACCCTTTATTGTAACTTCTCGCTACGGTCGTAGTAGTTCTGCTGCTGGTGCCATCTAGTGATTCCGCTAGCTGGCGCCACCTGTGACGTTAGCATGGCTCGCTGGAGCTGGGCTTGATGTCCGCGTGTTTTACCGGCAGCCATTTTCTGGCGCCTCCAGCATTATGGCCCGGTAGTGCATCACAAGCCGTGCTTTCAAGTCTGTGTCTTTGGCAGCGTGACTTCTTCTGATGTTAGTTAATAGCGTCCATGACGTCTGTTCAGTGACGTCACGTGACGTCTGTTCAGTGACGTCACCTGAGGAGCCGCCTGGCGGATGCCTGCCGTGCCGCACCAACCGGGGAGTCGCCTAACCTCACGTAACCGCCTTACCTCAGTGGCGCCTCACTAACGGCAGCTGTGTCCGCAGGCGGACGGCGGCCCGGCACCGCCCGAGAGCTCGGCGTCGGCTGTCTCCTCCTCCGAGTCCGGACAGGCTGAGCCGGCGGCGCCCGGCGGGCCGGCACCGGACGCCGCGGGCGGCGCCGCCTACACGGCGACCAGTGCGGAGCCGGCCGCGGCGCGCCCGCCGCCGCCGCCGCCGCCGCTGCCGGAGCAGATGGGGCCGTTCCAGCTGGAGGGCTCCGAGCCGACGGTGGCCGAGGCTGAGCAGCAGCAGGTAAACCCCCGAGTCGCCGCGCAGGTCACCGCGCGGGCGTGCCGGCGCGCTGCAGTGGGACAGGGCCTGGAGTTGGGCCTATTCTGGCAAGAAGGTACTCGGGCTAAAAGAGCAGCTTGCTCCTTTTATTCCTTTTCTGTGGTTTTCGGTCTGATTGTGGTTCTGTATTTATATTCACTTATGGGCGTTTTATAAGCCAAAGTTCCGAAATTTTGTCCTCGATGACAGTGTGTGTTGAGGGTTACATCCCCTTCTTGAGTAGTATGTTGTCCCTACTCTGAGGTATACATTCAGCGTCGCTAGCCGTTGAGGGGTGTAGGAAGACGTGAAGGTAGCGGCCAGCCCTCTGACGCCATCTCACTTGCGATGGTGCCATCTCACTCTGAATCCATCTCTCTTGCGCCACCTAACCCCGCGCTACGCAGCCCGCGCAGCAGGTGGAGCAGAAGCAGGTGCGCGTGCGGCAGCTGGTGCGGCAGCACACGCACGCCGACGGCAGCATCACAGAGGAGATCATCTCCGAGCAGATACTGCAGGTGAGGGATGCGTCGCATCGGACGGCACCCCCTCCCCCTCCCCCTCCTCCCCTTGGACGTGTACCGCAAACAAGCCATCGCCAGAGGGCATCGGCTGCGCTTTGCGAAGCGGCTGCGTCAGAGTCGAAGGTGCATAGACGGGTGTGCAGGCAGTAGAATATCTGTTATTCTCGAGCCCTGATTGAGCGGAGTCTGGTCGAATATGAGATGCGTGAATTTGTACCGTCCTTGGCGTGCAGAAACAACCACGGTGTGTGACGCCGTGGCCTATATCATGATTGAAGGACACATACTTTGGTTTTGTCTGACAGTCCCGTGTCATTTTGACTAGGGACATGTAGGTTTTCAGGCGGTGGAGTCACGTATGCCAGTGCCGAAGCGTTCACAGCGTAGCCACGCACGCCAATCAATGAACAGCTATGCATCATGCCAGTGCGGAAACTCCGTTTAAAGGTGGTGTTGGACTAAGGGCTGCGGCTCTGTTGATATGTATTCATATATACATACATATATATATATATATATATATATATATATATATATATATATATATATTATTCACGCCACTGCGGGCGGGTCGACAATTTGTACGTGGAATGACAGTCAGACTGTTGGTCGGACATGCTTCCTTACATTGATCAACGTTGCCGACAAGCTGTGTATATTTTGCAGGAAGGAGACGAGGGCTACGATCAGCTGGGGAAAGGTAGGTACCATGAGGCCCCATATTTGGTTTAAATGCCCCCGGCGGGATCGCTGAAAGTGAATGAGATTGGGTAACAAAAGTGTCACCACCGGTGCGGATTGGGGCCCATGGCTTTTGCTGGGGAATCTGTGGGATCTGGGGATCTGGGGAATCTGGGGAATATGGGGAATCTGGGGAATCGCAGCGTTGACACCTCCTGCACCCATGCGCATGCATGCACTGTGTATTGACGTGCAAACGCTGCAGATATGAGTTAACACACTGCACATGGTGTCAGTTTATATTGTACCTTAGCTCTTTGGAATTTACTAAACATTAGTTCAGCTTTATTGGAACTGTAGCGTTAAGCATGCACACATGGAGGATTTGGCTCACTGCCAGGCTGTCGCAGCACGCTCCGAACGTATCGCTATCGATAATTTTTGTTCACACACGGGCTTTAGAAGGTTAAGGGGCAGTACACAAGGCGCCATGAATCCCGCTTTTGCAGAACTTCAACATTCACGCCATGTTTTTGCATGCCGAGAGAGGATCTGAAAACGGGCTCGCCCCTTTTGACGTTCGTAAGTTCCGCCACTGCGCAGAAACGAGACGAAACGAAACCAGGCCAACTGATTGGTCGCCTGACCGGGTGGGCTGCGCCTTTCAGAGCCCGTGGTGGTGTCTGAGGACGTACAGATGACGACCGCCGGCGGGTATAGGGTACCAAACCCAAGGACCGGGGGACCACCCCTCCCGGACCGTGGCGGACCACGTGGACCGCGTGGACCACGTGGACCAGGCGCGAGCCAGACCGCCGCCCGTCTGAGACCACGTGTGCCGGGAGACGGGTCAGCTGCCGGTGAGGTGTCAGTGACCGTCCTCAACCTGCGCGGGGCGCCCTGCGCCGGCCCGAGAGCAGCCGCGGATCGTGCGGCACCCGAGTGGATTGCCGTGATCTCTGCCAGGCGTGGGCCGACTCGGCTCGCGCTGCTGCCAAAGCGTTTTGCGACGGAACTTGGGAGCGCGTGACACCGGGAGCTGCGGCTGGCGCTGGCTGCACGCTCGGAGGCCATCGTCAGCAATCCCATGAGCGGTGCGTTAGTGTGACGGGCTGCCTCGCCTTGCAGACGCCTTGTGACATTTCCCAGAGACGATTACGGAGGCGCTTTGACGATGTTGCGTGACTATGCAATTCGGAGAACGTTCTCTTATTTCATCGTAATATGTTTCGTACTTTGATTGCATCGGTCTCAAAACGCAAAACGACCGCGAGGTTGGTGGGTTGAGAACCGGCGCGGCTCGCGCTGGTTATGTTACTTTGTCAGATTATCTGTTCATGCGTCTGCAATATGACAGAACAGGGTATAGGGTACCGGAACACGTGAACGAAATATATCGTCCGCCATTCGTCACCGATGCGTATTTGTCTGCGAAGCTGCAGATCCAAATGTGAACTGCACCGTTTGCAAACAGAACCGCCAGTCCGCGAAATTGTGCACACTGATTTGATGCGTTTCCGTTTGCCATATTTACGGATTGAGGGTATGTATCCTATCGAAACGATGATTAAAGTATCGGTTTAAAGTGTGTGAATGACTTCTGCAGCCGACAGTGGAGACTCGCTGGACTTTGGGTAATACCAATGCGCCGGTAATCTCGTTAAGATACTGATTTGATCCTCGCACTCAGTCAACACATTTATTCCGCTATATTGCGCGGCAGTATTTTATCCTGCATAGCTCCACTTCGGACAGGGAAACATTGCATATAATCTATCGCGTTCGGGAAGTATATTTACACTATTCACAACAGGACAGCGGAAAAGAACAGGCGTCAAATTTACAAGCTTTCCTTCCCCCACTCGTCACATCCGGAACAGAAATAAAAAGTGATTCACTCTTAGCAGCACCGGACACCCAAGTCACCAGCTAATTCCCATGGAAACCATCACTGACACGAACAGCGATTCGGAAACAGGTCAGAGGGTGCCGCAGCACACAGAAAACGCACCGTTGAGCTTGAAAACAGTCCATCCACGCAGACCATACGCGACATTTACCGACTTCACAGTCACTCCGTGTCTTCCTGCTGCACCCGCGGGTGTAAATGTGCCCCAAATCGTAAGTCGAAGACGTTTTACACTCCTTTGTGCTTGTAAACACGAGCAAAATGATTTCAGCTAATGGACGCCATCAATTTTGAGAATGTGTCGTAAGACACGTGTCGTATTTGTCTAGAAGAACCCTCCCAGTTACCTGTTTTGCATCTCATACTGTGAGACGACGAACGACATTTCTTCCTGATAGACACCCACAGCCTACGCACTTTGGGGCGACGGTGCACCGAGGAGCCCCTCTCTTTACAGGGGCGCGGCCTCTGTGCCCTCACCACCGCACGGATGCACGGACGGTTCAGAGTGACCACATCGTCCATCTATCCTCTGAAAGACGGCATGTGTCTGTACAATTAAATACGCTCCGGGTATGTACATGCGGGCGGCAACGCGGGCTGTGCTTCACTCCTGCCCTTGAGATGCGCGGTAACTCTGTTCTTTACTAGCTCCTCGTGACTTTAGGTTGATAGGTTTTAGGTAAGCTGATGGAGTTTTTATGTTTGACAAACAGCCATAAAAGCTCGTAAGCTTAATCTGACGGATGTATGGCTATGCGGACGCCAAACGACGAACCAAATTTCGTTTCGGCCTGGTGATAACGTCCATGAATTAGGCCTATCACAATGACTTCAGTTCGGAAAGGCCGCTTTAGGAACGGCACACTCAACTCTAAGCGTCATAAAAGAGAACAAACTGAACGTCCAAAACTCTGCAAAAACCATGCTAGCAAACACCTTTACTGTTTCGTTGAAAGCAAGTTGCCATAGCTTTAGATGGTTCATATCTCAGCTGAACCCATCGTAGGCTGTTTACCACCTACCGACGCCGGCGGCTGGGGCAACGAAAAGGAGAAAGAAACTCAGACTAGTCCAATCGTGCTTCGTTCCTGTGCCGTAACATTTGAGTCCTCTGTATCGATGCTCCCCCCCCTCCCCCCTCCCCCACCTCCGCCGACTTAGACACCTCCGCACGATCACTCGTGCCTCCTCCAGAACTGAGCCTCGCTCGGGTCGACCCCAACAGCTAGATCGGCACAGCCGGGCCCGTCGCGTGAGAACGCACCGCTCCGGCCTGCCGGCAGCGGCAGCGCGTGACCCGCGACTCCTACGGTCTTGCCGGGGGGCCTGCCGCGACGGCCGCCGCCCTGGCCGGTCTACTTCCGCTGGTGCACGCCGGCGCCGGCTACGTCCCTCCAGAGCGAGAGGTCCAGCCGCGGCAGGGTGGCGCACGAGACCACCGGGTTACTGGAACGACAGAGCGGGGGGGGGGGGGGGCGTGTCACACGCGCATGCGCACTGGGCAACGGCGCTCATATGAAACTGGTGAACTCCAGACCGCATCGAATTTCGGTGCCTATTCTTATGTGATCAGGAAGGGTAGTGGGAACTTTTTCTTCGTTGTTTCTTCTGTTGCCTTCCTGTCGTGGACGTTTTTGCTCACTTCGCGAATGACAGCCGACATTAACTGCCTTGATCCACTCGGTTACGTTGCGTGGACACTACCCGATCCATCTCCAGCCAGTGCTCACGGGCTCGACGAGTGAAGCCCGGTAAGATACACAAACCTGCCGCCGGTACTCGCATATCGGTATCGGGGAGCACCATCAGGTACACCTGCGGCTTCTCGATCCTGTCTGAGTTCTGGACGCGGGAAGCCCGATAAGATACACAAACCTGCTGCCGGCACTCACATCTTGGGGTCGGGGAGCACCATCAGGTACACCTGCAGCTTCTCGATGCCGTCCGAGTTGTCGCAGATGATGTTACTCAGCTTCACCTGATGAATTGCGTCAATTTGTTCTGCAAAGAGCGCAGGCGTCAGCACCACGAGTTTGGGATTGGCGTGCCAGTGTGCTGTGCTGCAGTACAATCACGGACCCAACTAATGGCGGCACCGAAGTACCGAACAAAGCGGCTGAAAGAACCGCGACTTGTACTGCCGGGTTGCATAGCAGGAACAGGCCGTCATACGAGAAACAGGACGAGAGTACCAGTGCCGAAAGAGAAACAAGAATGCCAGACGAGAAACGAGGGAAGAGTCGGACGGACCAAGGTGCGTGCGTTACGTTCTCCGGTTATCTTCAGTAACCCGTTATAACTGGCGTGAGAGAATGTCACGCTGCTATCGGTAACAGCACACGCGTTATCGGAACACCTCTTAGCTGACACGGCGCCTCGCGAGAGATCAAAACAGCCCAGCCTTCTCCCCCCTCAGCCCCGCAGCCGAAGCTGTCACCGGCGGGCCGCTCTGGCGCTGCCCCCCCCCCCCCCCCCTCCCTTCGCCTGCGGGCCGGGCGTTGTTGTACCCGGCGTGAAGGAGCTGGGCAAGCCCTGGTTCTCAAACCAGAAGCGGTCGCCCTCCTTCAGCACGCGGAACTGCTGCTCGGCGATGAGGCAGGCCAGCGTGGGGCCGACCATGGAGCCATCCAGCGGCTTCTCGGAGACGACGCCAGACCAGAGGTCCATGTCGTCCGGGTGCCTGTCGGTGGAGGGCACGTCACCACGGCTGGCGCGACTGCCGCGCGCTGGCGGACAGGCCGGGTACTACCGACGCGTCAGGTGGCGGACAGAGCGTGTCACAGGCTGCCGAGAGCTGCCAGGGGATCGGACATGTTGTTGAAGAGAACAAAGGGCTGTTTTCAGAGGCAAGTACATGGTGTCGAACGGTTCCATGGGCTCTTTCCAGAGGTTAGTTGCGTCTTCGAAGAGCACAAAGGGTTTGTTTCGATAGGCTAGTACGCGTTGTGTTGGACGGTACCAAGGGCTGCCAGGTGCTGCCCTGCCGCCAGATTGGGCGCCAGCGCGACCATCATTAGACCTGGACGGCGGCGGAACACTGACAAGTTCTCTCAGCCGTGATGGGTGGTAGAAATAGACGGCCGAAGGCAGGAAACTGGCATAGAATGTGAAATGTGGAATGGAATGTGGGATGGAATTGAGTGTGGATTAGCGAGCACGCGCGCTGGTGAGACCTATCGGAAGTTCCGGGTCCACCAGCGTTTAGCGTGTCAGGCCCTCATGCACCGGAACACGAACGGCCATCGCGCCACCCAGCACACACGCACCGTCGAGGCCGCCCGCCAGGTCCTCTCACCCGTAAACGTCGCTGTAGGCGGAGGCCGTGTTGTTGCTCATGACGGTATTCAGCTCGAAGAAGTCGGTGACGCGCGGCAGGCCGCAGAACTCGCGGAAGCCGTTGTAGCTGGGCAGGCCGTGCTCGCGGCCTCGCTGCATGTTGATCGCCGCTAGATCCATTCCGAACCGGTGCTCGGGCATTTGGAACAGGTGGTTCGTGACCTGTCGACGTACGGTGGCACGGGCTAGGGCTGGGCCGACGAAGTTAACGGTGGTGGAACGCCTGAACGCATCACATGAATGCGATCGCGATAACGTTTACTGAAGTGATTAAATGCATTATAAAGATAGACTCTTACTCTTAGGGGATATCTAAGGTTGCAACGTAAGTTATTAACGTTCATCGTATATGTCATATCGGCTGTTTTATCTGAGTCTCAAACGGACTTTATCCGACCCGAACAGTCGGAAATACGCAAATATATCATTTCCATAATGCCCTGCTCCGTACGCCAACATGAATCGTAACTTCAAGGGCTTTGGTCCATCTTTGAAAATGGTTTCAGTTAGTTTATTTTTCTACCATTCGTATTCGTTCGACTCAAAATACGAGAAATAAAGTAGGTTGAAAGCTTTTTGGAATCAGGGTAATTCCACAAACAAAACTATGCATGAATTAATTAAAATTATCACCAAATCACATCCACACACGTGACTCAGTAATTATTGTGGAGTACATCCGGCATGCTGGCACAATTCCGACAGGTTTTTGTGCAACCTCGCCCCACAACAGCCGACGGACGTCTTGCAGCGCCACATCGCTCCGTTTGGTTTTTGCCATGGGTGGGTTGAGAGCCATGTTTTCCATCAGTGACACAGAGAGCGGGTCAGCTTCCCTTCCGCCTGACAAAAGGCCCGCCGGTCCCACAGCGCCACGCGCTGCCCGATGAATGGCCGGTACATTTTGCGGGGGGCCAGGCCGGTTCTTGTCCATGGCTGGAACCGGCCCGACCTGCTCCGCGTTCATACAGCCGTGCTCGTGAAACCGCGCGACGCGCCGTCGCTCGGGGAACAGCCTCGCGACGCTGCTCTTACGTCCTGCTGGTGACGTCACCTGACGCCCTGCCCCCTCTGACGTCGCACCCGCCTGTCACCCTCGGCGCGGCACTCACCTCCTGCGTGACGGCGTCGTCCATGGCCTGCGCGAGCTGGTTGATGAGGCCCATGGTGTACTGGTCCACGAAGCCGCCCTTGTACATGTCGTACGGTTGACGGAGCAGCTCGCTCAACCGGCGGGCGTCTGACGTCGGGTCAGGGGTCAGGGGTCAGGGGGTCAGGATCGGGGTCACAGTTGTCATGCACGGATGACGTACGGTACACGGCAGCCTGTTATAGTACATGAGTGACTGGCTGTGTAGCTCGGTGGAAGAAATGTCCCAGCCAACTGCAGATGGCTGGGTATTCTCGGGTCACGGGCCCTCGGTCCGCATGCGCACCGGGCGTAGAGCGAAAGGCACGACGCACGCGCGGATCCGGCGGTTTGAGAATCACAAACTGAGCTGCGCGCCAGCGGCGGCAGGTGACCAAGGCTTTGGCAAGAGGATGAGGCCATCAGGGGGCCATTCAGGCATTTAGGAGACCACCAGGGTTAGCAGATGGTAACTCAAAATCGTCATTAGGTGACTGGACTTGAACGGCGGCCATTTCATCCGTTGCCCTTCACTCACTACACGGTCCTGTCAGATCAATGATAGGGCAGGTCAATTATAAGTCGTGTCAGAGACACGATCTGTGGTAGGTAGGCTGCAAGATAACAAACGATCGTCGCGAACGAAAGCCGTGCACGTCAGCACGCGCTGTGACAGCACTTCCACCGTCACGGTCCGGGCAGCGCCGGCGACCTTCGTGCAGTAACCGTTATGTCACTCGCGCGGTCCACCTGGCGCATTAGCAAGTGCACGCAATAGCGCCATTGACGTTCCGCTAGCGAATCGAGCAGGATACGCCTTCCAGAATGCGCCGTTTTCAATCTGTTCCTTCTGCCTGTGTCTGACTGTGTGTGTTTACGAGTGAGACCTGTGGTTAAGCGGACATAACCACGCGGGTGTTTGCATACTTGCGGCGACGGCGTTACTGAAAGCGTGAAGAGACATTACGACATTGGTTATGAGAGCGATGATGCGAGCGAGGGAGATGAAAAAAGAAAGCAGCAGCAGCAGGGAGAGAAAGGAAGAGCGGAGCAAAGGAGATGAGAGGCAGATGGGGATAATGGGACGACAGAAAAGAGAAGATAGAAGCGGAGGGAGGAGGACAGAAGAGACAGGGAGTGAGGAAACGTAGAGAGAGAGAGAGAGAGAGAGAGAGAGAGAGAGAGCTCTCTCTCTCTCTCTCTCTCTCTCTCTCTCTCTCTCTCTC